GGTTACTATTCACCGACACTATTCACGGTTACTATTCATAGTCACTATTCATAGTCACTATTCACCGTTCGGTTGAATTACATTAATTCGACCGAATTTCCACACCGTTTTATGTTTCGATTAAATTACATTAATTCAACCGAATTTGACCAAATTCGGACGAGTTACACTTACTCGATCGAGTTCAACAAACATTTTGTTTCAGACTTCGCTTTGTCAGTTTTTACATTCCAACCCTTCGTGTGTGACCCTGTAGGCTCATTCAATGTGATCGTGATCTCGAAACACTATTTCGACTCATTGATTGTAGGTGGTCTCTAGCAAGACACTACAACCCTCACATTGATAGAGTTAGTGATCCACTAACAGAGCAGTAATAGTTCTTACTACGATCCTTTTGACACACGATATCCTATGTCGAACATAAGGCATGGATCTAGCCACCTTATCAGGTTCGACTGCTTTCTCATCCATGAGATAACTGAACATAATAGATGACATTCATCTAAGCGTGGTCACGCATTTCACAGTTCATCTCACTCGAGGGGCCCAGCGATATTTCTCTCGTAATGAGAGGGTCAAAATCCCTTCCGACTATCTATTATCCTCCACATGTCTCATAACGAACCTGAGCACAATCATTATAGTTATCCTATTACGGATAACGTTTGACTGAGTCAGAGCACGTTACTCCTCATGTCGGATACATATAGATATCTCCGGTTTGAGGATCCAGTAGCGAACCATCACATGAGATTCAAGTCATGACTCATGTCCATGTGACAATCTCATGCGGGTCATCCAGTCACTTGTTCCAAACAAGTACTCATGATCGTGATCTATATCTAATAATCATAATCATCATAATGATCATCTATCACGCCTCATGCTAGTCTTAGCTCATCATCGTTCCCACGATGAGATCAACTAGGGAATTTAGAATTATTTCTATAAATAATTCATGGATTTCATCATACAACAAATATGCAAATCGTATAATGAAAATTTTAATTCATTCCACAAATGAATTAATTACAAAAGTCTCATATATAGATTAACTAGAGTATTACAACCTTCAGAAGTTCCAGACCAAAGGGTACCCGGATGATTCTCAATTTTTGATGGAAGATAGGGGTATTAAAGAGGATTCAAAAGAGCCAAACCAACCTTGAATCTACCACGTTTTGACCTTGCGCAAGGGTGACATACACATACATGCGCAGAAGGCAATACTCTCGGACGCACCAAGAAGAAGATGCAAAATAAAACTCGATTTCTTATCAATTCAAAGTATGATCATTTTTTACATACAAAGGCCTTTAAATAGGCTAGAAACACAGAAAAAGTACAAAGAAAATTCATGCATAAGGAGGAGCTAACACAATACTAAAGAAAGGTAGTGGAAAATAACACCATTAAGTAAAGAAAAAGTGGGAAGTACTGATCTTATGATTCTGATTTCATAATCAAACACAATAATACGGCCAATCAAATGAGAACAGAAAGTTAGCATGAAGACCGACAGACCAACCCCGAATGAACTGGACGATACATGAATCAACATCGCCCAAAACATACATCGATTTTGGCCTATTGTAGGACAACACTTAAAACTTCGTGGGCTAACCTATGGGCTTACAAGGAGATATTTTAGAATTGTATTCTCCACGTAGGATTTCCGTTTATCTACGTGACGGTTATTTGACGGTAGGTATTTTTTGGCCAATAATTTAAAAGTATATGATTTATTTGGAGAAAAATCAATTGTACATGTGTTATTCAATAATTAAAAAAGTACAAGTATTAAATTGAGATAAGAAAAAAGTATAGGTATTTTACGGCAATTCTCCCTTTTTTTATAATAATAATAACAATACACAAGAGAATATGATAAATTTCCATAACAAAAAAGGCAAAGCATAAGCGAGTGAAAATTTCTTTTACCAGATACCGAAATATGATCATTTTTTACATATAAAGGCCTTTAAATAGGCTAGAAACACAGAAAAAGTACAAAGAAAATTCGTGCATAAGGAGGAGCTAACACAATACTAAAGAAAGGTAGTGGAAAATAACACCATTAAGTAAAGAAAAAGTGGGAAGTTGATGGAAGTGGATGGCCTACGTCTTGCAATATTTTAGGAGCCTTAAATAAGGTCTTCATGAGGTTGAAATCATGTAGAAGACTTCCCAAATTTGTGCTTGATAAGGGCTGGCCGAAATTTGGTACAAATGTAGCACCATATCCTCTCCAATGGGATGATATCTTCTTGGACTTGTGCATAATACTTTTGGGCTCTTTGGGCTTTGATATGCAGTCCATTTATTGAGAATACAATTCTAAAATATCTCCTTGTAAGCCCATAGGTTAGCCCACGAAGTTTTAAGTGTTGCCCTACAATAGGCCAAAATCGATGTATGTTTTGGGCGATGTTGATTCATGTATCGTCCAGTTCATTCGGGGTTGGTCTGTCGGTCTTCATGCTAACTTTCTGTTCTCATTTGATTGGCCGTATTATTGTGTTTGATTATGAAATCAGAATCATAAGATCAGTTTCCCAAATTCACACATGGAATATATATTGTGACACTCGTAACCCGTATACAGCAAACAGGTTGTGCTACATGGACAAATCGAGAAGATAACTCAATAAAATGGAAGCAAAAATGTGAAATCCAAAAACACTTTTTGAAAGAGAGTAGACAGCGGAAATAACTTACGCGATACATGTCGCAAAACACACATGTCCGAATGTTAGTTATTACAACCGTAGGAAATATGGGAAACACAAGCCCCGTAGTTTAATTACAAAACCCGTACATGATGTTGATTCTCTCAAGTCGTCACCGCCCTGCAGCTTGATCCGACCCGGACCAGAGTCTGGTCCGGCGGATCAAGCCTGTTTTTGACCAAAAATGGTCCAGTTGACCAACGAAGAAGGAGGCGGACCAAGTGAGAAAAAGTTCTGGTCCGGGGCTGACCAAAAGTCAGTCTGCCGGACCAGACGTGCCCAGAAGCCAAAATCACCGACGGACCAAGGATAAATGGGACGAACCACAGACGAGAACTGGTCCAGGGCTGACCAAAAGTTAGTCCGCCGGACCAGACCTGGAAAAAAAGAATTTCCACGATGAACCAAAGAAACGGGCCGAGAACGAACGACACGTCTTGGTCGGGACCTGACCAGCAGTG